AATAATAGTAATAATAATAGTGATAATAATAGTAATAATAACGATAGTAATGATAATAGCAATAATAATAATAGTAATAATAATAGTAGTAATAATAGTAGTAATAATAGTAATAATAATAGTAGTGATAATAGCAATAATGATAACAATAATGATAATAATAATAAATACAAGAAATTATAATGGTAACTGTTGCATGAAAATTTTCAGATGTAATATGTGGAAAAGTTTTTTAATTAAAAGCTTTTAAAATTTGTGTTTAAAAAATTTTATATTTTAATGATACGAGAAATTAATATCAAATATTATTTAGCTGAATAGGAATGTTTCGATCCATTAAGTCATATATACTGTGGTAAAGTATCAGTGATGACAACTTATATACTGTTACTCCCAGCCACTAAGGTGGTTAGTCATGATATTGTCTAGGACGGGTTGCAACCTTAGACAAAACAACTGGGAAAATTGCAACCTGCACAACTTTATACTGTGATTTAACAGTTGCTTCCAGGGTGTGATAACTGTAGCAACTTTAAATATCGGTGATCAGCTAGGTAATCCCATGGCTCTGCTAAAAAAAGCAACAGTCATTCCCCGTTTTATTTTACAAAAAGTTAAATGATTTTTTCAAAGCAATCTATTGAACAAAATGCTGGTAGGTCTGTTTCAAGAATAGCGTTTAAATATAACGCAGCACTAAAAAATGCTTTTTGCAAGATGTGGAATAGAAAGGAAAAAAGAGACCATGGAGGCCCGATCAAGAAGTGATCATTCCGAACTGGAATGTCAAGGCTGTGGTAGACGAGGGATGGTAATTAGCGGCGTAGGTAGGCCGAAGCACGGGCTGCCCGTGCTTCGGCTTTGAATCTGAAGGAGTCTGACTTTTTTGTCCCGACCCACATTAGTTTTCGATAATTGGCCAACGCACGACGACGAGAATATTTTGAACACTCAGTGGCTTACTAATTAAAAAAATTGGCCAACGCACGGGCTGCCAGTGCGAAGATGCGTTTTTTGCATGGTTCCCCGCAGTTTCTGTTGCTACCGGCACCGGTTTTTTCGGCAGATGCTTCTAGCTAAACAAATTAAGACTGGCCGCCAGAACTGTCAGGAAACATCCCCATAAAATTTCAGCTTTCTAGCTTCCGTGGCTCCTAAGTTAGCAACTTACTGGAACAAAATTTTCACGGGCCCATACATGTTTACCAAGCATACCTGAGAGATGGGTTCGAGCTGAATGAAACTTAGGTGGACAGGGTATATCCTCTTAAAATTACATTCCTTTAGCTTCTCAGATCCCCGAGTTATGAACTTGCCCAAAAAAAATTTTGGCGGGTTCGTACGCGGGTACCACGCTTACCCTGGGGCTAGGTTTGAGCCCACGTATACCCGGTTGGGCGGGAACATTATCCCAAGATTTCAGCGTTCTAGCTTCTCAGATCCTCGAGTTATGAACTGATCCCAAAAAAATTTTGGCGGGCCCGCACGCGGGTACCATGCGGGT